TAAATATGCTTGCACCTGGTATAAATATGCTTGTGCCTGGTATAAATATGCTAGCACATGGTATAAATATGCTTACACCTGGTATTAACCCTTAAACTGTCCAAATGTAGATCTACTTTTTTTCAACATTTGAAAGTATGTAAAAAAAACTTAGATCTTCTTTTTGTTTTTTGTTTTACATTTGAAAATGTGTAAAAAAAGCTTAGATCTATGTTTTTTTGTTATATTTGAAAATATGTTAAAAAACATAGATCTACTTTTGGAGCACTACGCATGTGAACATAGATCTGTTTGGACAGTTTAACCCTTTCAGGGTCTGTCCCGTAGATCTACGGCTTTACATTCAGGGTCCAAACCGTAGATCTATGCCAAAATTCTAGCGGCGTCAAATTTAGTGCGAGAAGGCTGGTAGGCCTACATCTGAGAGAATGGGTCTGGTTGGTCAGTGTGCGCACCATAGAAAAAATCTGGACGCCCACATGGCATTGTGGGAACGCTGGCAAAGTAGCTTTGTTCATTGTGCCTGGCGGTAAGGAAGCTCTCACTCCCCACTCACTCTCTGGGCGAATTCTGACTCTCCTCTTCACAACTTACAGTTCTGAGACTGATGGAATTGGAGAAGACGAATTCTATGGTTTTGAACCATATGGTACCATTGTGCCATATGGTACAATGGTGCTATGTCATACAATGGTATCATATGGTACAATGGTATCATATGGTAGAGTGGTACCATATGGTATAATGTACCATATAGTACATTGTACCATATGGTACAGGCTACAGGGATCCTAATGGAAATAAGTCTGTCTGACTTTTTTGGGTTATTCTAGGTTCTCCAAACATATGCTGCTAAGTATGATATTCTATGTAATTTTATTTGTGTATAACTAAATAAACTTACTTATGATGCCACATGCACTCGAGTAAATTTATTCAGGTGTACAGAAATACAATTACATAGATTATCATACATAGCAGCATATGTATAAAATCCTAGGATAACCCAAAAAAGTCAGGGTGACTTATTTCCATAGTTATCCCTGTATCTGTACCATATGGTGTCCTGTACTGTATGGTACTCTGTACCATATGGTGCCCTGTGCCATATGGTACCCTGTGCCATATGGTACCCTGTGTCATATGGTACCCTGTGCCATATGGTACCCTGCACCATATGTTATCCTGCACCAAATGTTATCCTGTACTGCTTGGTACCCTATACCATATAGTACAATGTACCATATGGTACCCTGTATCATATGTTATCCTGTACTGCATGATACCCTATACCATATAGTACAATGTACCATATGGTACCCTGTACCATATGTTATTCTGTACTGCATGGTACCCTATACCATATAGTACAATGTACCATATGGTACCCTGTACCATATGTTATCCTGTACTGCATGGTACCCTATACCATATAGTACATTGTAACATATAGTACAATGTACCATATGGTACCCTGTAACATATGATACCGTGTACCATATGGTCAATAGGTGTTGGTGGCATGAGACACCAGCCAAGACTGAGTGGCGACACAAGCTAGCTACTGACTCCGCAGTTTTCGAGACAAAGTGCTTTGTCATCCACCTCAAGGAACACGTCATGTTCCTGTACACTTGAAAATATATAATAGAACATTACTAATATACAACATTTTTGCATATTTTTGTTGTAAACAACTACAGTGGACCCTCAACCAGCGATATTAATCCGTTCCTGAGAGCTCATCGTTAATCGAAATAATCGTTAGTCAAGTTAATTTTCCCCATAAGAAATAATGGAAATCAAATTAATACGTGCAAGACACCCCAAAGTATTGAAAAAAAAAATTTACCACATGAAATATTAATTTTAATACACACAAACTGAAGAAGACATGCACAGTTACATGACACTTACCATTATTGAAGATCTGGTGATGATTGATGGGATGGGAGGAGGGGAGAGTGTTGATCTTCTTAGTGTTTAGAAGGGGAATCCCCTTCCATTAGGACTTGAGGTGGCAAGTCCTTTTTTGGGGTTACTTCACTTCTTCTTTTAATGCCACTAGGACCAGCTTGAGAGTCACTGGACCTCTGTCGCACAACATATCTGTCCATAGAGGCCTGTACCTCCCGTTCCTTTATGACATTCCTAAAGTGTTTCACAACATTGTCAGTGTCACAATTAAACACTTGTTCAGGTTTCAATTCTTCACTGTCTATGTACTCCTTGAATTCCTGCACATATTTTTCAGCTGCTTTTTGGTCCAAACTGGCAGCCTCACCATGCTTTATCACACTATGTATGCCACTACGATTCTTAAATCTCTCAAACCAACCTTTGCTGGCCTTAAACTCACATCACCACTAGTTGCTGGCATTTTTCTAATTAAATCCTCATGCAACTTCCTAGCCTTTTCACATAAGATCTCTTGAGAGATGCTATTTCCTGCTATCTGTTTTTCATTTATCTACACCAATTACAGTCTCTCAACATCTTCTATCACTTGCGATCTCAGTTTCGAAAACATAGTTGCACCTTTGGCAAGAACAGCTTCCTTGATTGCCGTTTTCTTGGCCACAATAGTAGCGATGGTTGATTGGGGTTTTGTGTACAACCTGGCCAGCTCAGACACACGCACTCCACTTTCATACTTAGCAATGATCTCTTTCTTCATATCCATAGTAATTCTCACCCTTTTTGCTGTAGGGTTGGCACTAGAAGCTTTCTTGGGGCCCATGGTGACTTATTTTGCAGGTGCAATCACTAAAAAGGCTGTGATAATATGAAATGTTCCGATTGTATGCTTGGAAGCGACCGCGGTGGCTGGCTGGCTTGTAAACACTGGCCAGAAGTGGACGCATCTCAGACGGAAGGAATAGTGTTGGTCGAGTTTTTTAGCGCTAGTCGAGGCAAAATTTTTGCGTTAAAATGTATTGCTGGTCGGATTTATCGTTAATCGATGCCATCGCTGGTCGAGGGTCCACTGTATTGTAAACAAAATAATAATGAAAATATTAGTGTGTTTATTGTGTTGAATACAACAGTACCATATGGTACAATGAACCATATGGTATCATTGTACTGTATGGTACAATGTACCATATGGTACCATTGCATCATATGGTACCATTACACCATATAGTACCATAAGGTACCATTGCACAATATGGTACCATTGTATCATATGGTACCATTGTACCATATGGTACCATTGTATCATATGGTACCATTGTACCAAATGGTGCCATTGTACCATATGGTACCATTGTATCATATGGTACCATTGTATCATATGGTACCATTGTATCATATGGTATCATTGTATCATATGCCATTGTACCATATTGTACCATATGGTACCATTGTATCATATGGTACCATTGTATCATGTGCCATTGTACCATATGGTACCATTATATCATATGGTGCCATTGTACCATATTGTACTATATGGTACCGTTGTATTCAACGCAATAACCGCACTAATATTTTCATCATTTTGTTTACAATAAACTTGTTTTGTAAGCAATATAATGATAAACAAATTAGTGCAGTTATTGTGTTGAATACAATGAGTGTACACTTATACAATATACATTATACTAGTCTCACAGGCCACAAATGTTATTAGAAAAATAAAAAAAATAGAAGAGAAAAGAAAAAAGTATAAAAAACGTAAAATAAAAAAATGGGATTTTGCGGAAGTCACTGATGTTGCCGCCACCAGGTCATTTTGGGTCAACTTCCCGCCGCTGTATGTCGGTAAGTACTGATCAGAAAAAAAAAAAAAAATTTTGTCTTATTACTTTATAATTATATCTTTAATTGACGAAGAAAAAAATAATTTTTGTTTTTCAAATTTCGCTGGACTTGAAAGATTAACTTTAGATTTAGGGATGACTGAAATGGGATAAGAGATTAATATGCTCAACTGGTATAAAAGACTGGCATTGTGTTATAAATATCCGTGCCTGGTATAAATATGCTCTTTATTGTAATAATTTTTTTTATTCTTGTGACCTGGCATTAATTATGGGTCATGACCCTTGGGTTAGTTAATATGCTCATACCTGGTATAATATGCTTTCATCTAACACCTGCCCGTATAAATATGCTTTGTGCCTGGTATAAATATGCTCATGCCTGGTATAAATATGCTCATCAATGCCTGGTATATTAATAATATGCTCTTGCCTGGTACAAATATGCTCATGCCTGGTATAAATATGCTAATGCCTTGTATAAATATGCTCTTGCCTGGTATAAATATGCTCACACCTGGTATAAATATGCTCATGCCGGGTATAAATATGCTCGCGCCTGGTATAAATATGCTCGCGCCCGGTATAAATATGCTTGTTGCTTGTTATATTGTATTACTTGAAAAAACTGTTGGAAAGAAAAACATCATGTCAGCAAAAGTTCTTTCTTCACAAGTGTTTGAAGCAGTGATGATGATGATGGTGAACATTGTGAAGGTGAGAGAGAGGCCACATAGCTGTGGATGATGATGGTGAACATTGTGAAGGTGAGAGAGAGGCCACATAGCTGTGGATGATGATGGTGAACATTGTGAAGGTGAGAGAGAGGCCACATAGCTGTGGATGATGATGGTGAACATTGTGAAGGTGAGAGAGAGAGGCCACATAGCTGTGGATGACATACACTGTGATGTGTGGCTACACGACGTCTCTGGGTTGTCATATTTCCTGAATACATGCACGGTGTTTTATCTGGGTTGTTACTTTTCTTGAGAGTGATCTACATCTCTCACCTGGTTTTCCTACCTGGCTTTCTTTGCTATCCTGGTTGGTGTTGGGAATTCTTCTGCACTGTTCTACCTTTCCTTTGTGTGTTGGACTCCACCCAACTATGCAACCCCGGATGGATGACATTCCCGGGTGATGGGTGATCTATTCTGCGGGTCATTGGGGCCCTTCCCTGCATCTCTTCAGCTTCTCCAGATGAAGCCTTTATTTTCCCTGTTTCTCCACCAGGAGCACGTGAAAGCCTGCCTCCTGGGACGCTCTCTGGCCTCTCCCCTGGCGGTGCTTTCTGTGGGCCCTCATGGACAACAATCTTCCTGTGCCATCACATGGTTCTGGCTTAGGCCTCACAGGTACCTATATATTTGCAGGCATCTCAAATGTGGCAGTCAGACGACAGCGTGTCTTCTATACCAACACGCACCGCCACTCCTACAGGTATTCATTTAAGTAAGCCAATGTATTGGTACTTACATCAATTGTTATTACCCTCATTTACCTTGAAAAGAGTAAAGTGGGCTTAAGAAAAATAGAACCTAATAATTATAAAACTAAATGTGAAAGATAAGATACAAAGAATATAGGATAATGAATAAATCGCGGGGTTGGAAGAGGAAATGTGTGAAATACTAAATATGAAATTGAAGAGTGTGTGTACAGAAGTCGAAATCAAAATCAAAAGTTGACACACAGTGTGTCAACTTTAGTACACACACTCCAAGAAGTCATGTGTTGAGATGGAGAATGATGTAATACATGAAGTGAAAGTTAAGATGCTACTGCCAGATGTAGACAAGAAAAACCAATGTGAGTAGACAAGATAGCAGCATGGCTCATAAATGAACCTGCACATGAACTAGGTTCACCATGGTTCATAAATAAACCTGTACATGAACTAGGTTCACCATGGCTCATAAATGAACTTGCACATGAACTAGGTTCACCATGGCTCATAAATGAACCTGCACATGAACTAGGTTCACCATGGCTCATAAATGAACCTGTACATGAACTAGGTTCACCATGGTTCATAAATAAACCTGCACATGAATTAGCATCACCATGGCTCATAAATGAACTTGCACATGAACTAGGTTCACCATGGCTCATAAATGAACCTGCACATGAACTAGAGTCACCATGGCTCATAAATGAGCCTGCACACAAACTAGGTTCACAATGGCTCATAAATGAACCTGCACATGAACTAGGGTCACCATGGCTCATAAATGAACCTGCACACAAACTAGGTTCACCATGGCTCATAAATTGTTTGGGTTTGCACCACAAGAAAGTAAACTGGAAGACAAATGGAAAACAGGACATATTGTGGCAATATTTAAAAAAAAAAGAGTGAGTGGAAGGATTCGTTAAAGTACAAGCCTCTCTTGCTGCCAAATGTTCTTGTCATATTACCAGAAAAAATATTTAGAGAAAAGTGAGCAAAATTAGTAGTAACTAGTAAATTTGATTCTTAATTTGCAGATCTTTGCATGGTACATCAAGTTTATTACTCTACTATGGCACAAGTCAGAAATTATTCAAGAACAAAATGAATGGATGGATTGCATTTGCAGTAGACCACTGGATTACACACAATCTGTTAATGTGTGTTCTATTAACATAAACCAAGGAATGGGTGGGGTTTGAACCCACAGCAGAATATTTTTCATTGTACACACCATAAAAATCGGTTTACACAGTGGAGTACATGTTAGGAAAACTGTGGCATGAGCTGTGATCTTCTCCCTTTGCCTCAAAGTGAACCTTAGGGCGAGTCCATTGCTATATGGGCTAGTGGGGGGGGGGGGGGAGTGTGGAAACTTGTGAGATGTCCACTCTTGCAATTACTGTTGGCACAGGTAATGCAAGACTCCTAGTCACATTCTCACAAGCACCCCTAGGGTACACTTCTTTTGAGAATTAACTGTTCTGAAGGAAGTTTCTATCTTCATGCACAAACTAGAACAGACTTACTTGTATTGTGGAGTCTATATGTACTAGCTAGAAATCCTCTGATTACACATCCAGGCTAATTTAGACCTCTAATGACTTCACTCTCTCCAAGATGCCATGTACTCGTGACAAAAAATTTTGCTTCACATGCTGAATGTCCAGGTTTAATTCCTGGCAAGGGTGGAAACATTGGGCATGTTTCCTTACACCGGTTGTCCATGTTCACCCATCAGTAATAATGGGTACCTAGGTGTTAGTCGACTGGCGTGGGTTGTATCCATGGACAAAACTGACCTAATTTGCCCAAAATGCTCTGCATAACAAGCTGCTTTCTATATAGTAATATGTCATTGATGTCAGCTTAGGCCTGTACCTTGTACATGTACTTGTAATAATAATATAATATATTAGTAATATCTTTATTTCTACAAGTACATGTACAAGGTATGCAGGCCTAGCTGACATCAATGACATAATACTATAGAAAGTTCCTTGTTATGCAGAACATTTCAGGCGAATTAGGTCAGTTTTTTCTCAGGATGCAACCCACACCAGTCAACTAACACCCAGGTACCCATTGTTACTGATGGATGAACATGGACAGCCGGTGTAAGGAAACACACCTAATGTTTCTACCCTCACCGGGAATCGAACCTGGATCCTTGCTGTGTGAAGCCAGAGCTTTTGCCACCAGGCCACAGGCCACCGTGAAATAAAAATGTACTAAAGATATTAGATATTATGCAATTCAGGGTTGCAGGACCCTGAATTCATTGGGGGTTTTCCTAACTAATATTTATGTACACAAAGGATACTAGCTTCTGGTCTAATATTCAAGGGTTAGTTACTTTGCAATTTTAGGTGCTAATTTACCTCTACCTGCCCCTAACTGCAAGCTAACTATTCTTACATATTTCTCAGTAATTTGGTGGTCACCTATATGGGCAAAAGCAGAAACGAGTTTCACAGATGGGTCTGGCACAGAGACTTGTATCCATGGTCCATCAGGAAGGTCTCTTGTCTTCATTGGCTGCCAGACAGTATTTTGTAAGCCATGTGAGATACTGAGTTTAGAGCTCCTAATGAGTTGTTGTCACCACAGAAGCTAATGCCAGAAGAGAGCGGCAGCATTCTGCATGTTCTGTGTTCTACTTTGGGTGGGATGCTAGTTACTGCAATATTCTTAATCTCCCTACCTATTAGAGTGGACCCTCAGTTAATGCCTTTAATCCATTCCAGAGAGCTAGCCTTTAACTGAATAAATTTTCCCCATAAGAAATAATGGAAATCCAATTAATCCATTCCAGACACCCAAAAGTATTAAACAAAATAATTTTTTACATGAAATATACACTTTCCTACACAGAAAACAATGATACATGAAGAATAAAAGAATAACAACATCACACTTACCTTTATTGTGGACTTGTTGATGTGTGATGAGATGGAAGGAGGGCAAAGGATGAAGGTGTTCTGTTGTTTGGAAGGGGAATCCCTTTCCATAAAGACTTCAGGTAACAAGTCCTTTTCTGGCTTGTGTCCTGGGAATGCCTTTTTTTTCCTGAGTAATGTAGGTCCTGTTTGGCATTTTCTTCGTAAACAGGCCTGTTTCGTCACAATTGAACACTTGTTGGGGTTTTAATTTTTCAGCTTCTATGTACCACTTAACCCTTTGACTGTCGCAACCCCCAATCCTGAGGTGTCTCCTGGTGTCGCAAAATTTAAAAAAAAAAAATTTTTTTTTCTTATGAAATGATAGAGAATCTTTTCCCGATTGTAATGACACCAAAAAAACGAAATTTGATGGAAAACTGATGGAATTATGCTCTCGCGAAGTTAGCGACCTCGGCGCTGTTTACAAATCGGCGATTTCGCCCACTTTGAGCCCTGTTTTCGGCTAATTCCATTGTTCCAGTTGCCCAAAGTCATAGCTATTTCTTTAGAACTCCATTTTTTCTATCGATTGAGTACACGAAACTGCCCATTTACCGATTTCAACTACCTAATAATGTGGTCAGAAATTTGCAATTTGGCCAATTTCACGAAAACTAAAAAATATGACAATTTCAAAATAAGGTCCAGAATGAACAATGCAGACATTCCTGGCTCTAAAATAACATTTTCTTTGCTCATCAGTCATGTCTCCAGGCCCCTCTGATATTACTCTTGCTTTCTATTTTGAATTTTTATTCAAACAAAAAATAGAAGATTTACTATTATGCAGACTACTGCAATACTGTAATAATTGTAAAAATAACATCAACCCATTCATGACTGCATATTAGAATGGCTAGTTGGACATTTATTGGACAATGGCATCATTTGTTTACTTTTGAACATCGGCAAAAATCAAACATTTCCCCTACTTTGAGCTCCATTTCTAGGTTCTTTTTATAGTAAAATCAATCAAAATCACCTCTACTTCTATAATATGTTTTCCATTCTATCAAATGAGACAAAGAAAACGAGAATACAACCATAAATACTATACGAAAATAGACCACAAAGTCGGCATTTTAATTAAAAAAAACGGTCGGAGTTTTTTTTTCTCATTATGCACTGCGTGCTCCAGGATTTTTTTTATATGGTGCACACTGACCACACAGACCCATTCTCTCACATGTGGGCCTACCAGCTTTCTCCTGCTTGATTTGAAGCCGCTAGAATTTATGAGTATATATACGTCAAACACGGTACCTCGTAAGACGTATATATACGGCCGCGACAGTCAAAGGGTTAAAGTCCTGCACATATTTTTCAGCTGCTTTTTTGTCAGAACTGGCAGCCTCACCATGCCTTATCATACCATACCACCATCACAACCACTACTACCCTCTACCACCATCACAACCACTACCACCCTCTACCACCACCACTACAACCCTCTACCACCACCACTACAACCCTCTACCACCATCACTACCACCCTCTATCACCATCACAATTGCTCCCACCCTCTACCATCACCGCTTTCGTATTTTTCTACAAACTTTTTCTTAAATGTGTTCCTCACATTCTTTACCAATGGGCTGGCACTAGAAGCTTTCTTGGGGCCCATAGTGGCTTATTTAGCAGTTAAAAGCACCAAAAACAATGGAATATAAAATATATCACATGTATGCACGGAATCGTCATCACTCGCTTTGTAAACAATGGCACACTGGCTGGTACACGGAGTGAGCGGCTGGGCCTGCTCAGGGATGAAAGCTCCTGAGTTTTTAGGTGTTATCCAAGCCAATGTTTTTATGCCAAAGCGAGGCGTTTTCCGATTTGGTGTTAGCCGATGCCGCCGTTAACTGAGGGGTCCACTGTCTAACAAAATTAATGTCTAAGGTTACATTATTAATTCTAATATTATTTACTAACAATTTATACCTACCTAAATCATTCTCAAGATGTAAATCTATCAGTTCATATTTTTATATTATGATTTGCAAATTAGTGTTAATGTTATTGCTGGGGTAAGGATGTGGTCATGGAATTTTTGGTCTCGATAAATTTCTACAGGTAACATGTGAGCTGGTGAGTGGGAGAGAGTGAGCTGTGGGTGGGAGTGTGTGTGCTGGTGGGTGGGAGAGAGTGAGCTGTGGGTGGGAGTGTGTGTGCTGGTGGGTGGGAGAGAGTGAGCTAGTGGATAAGATGGTGGGAGCTAGTGGGTGAGGACAGGGTACTGAGTGAAGAAGGGTAGTGGTCTGTGGTGTTATCAGTGATTATCACTGCTTTTAGTGGGGATATAGTATTGGTCCAGATATGGTCAAGTGATGAGGCGCTTGTTTCAGAAATTCTTGTTGGTTTAGGTAGTAGGAAGCAGTTGTTCATAGTATTTATGAAGTTGGCTAGTTAGGGTCAGCTGTTTGGATAAGGTTTATGTTAAAGTTGCCTGTAAGTATCAGGTGGTGTTTATTCA